AGGCGCAGCCCGACGGATCAAGCATTCGACTTGCAATCTGAGGGCCGCGCCTTCGAATCCTGCTCCCCAACATGCGTGCCATTTATGCGTGGAGATGTTATATTGTACGGTCAATCCCACTATTTGTTGATAAAGAGTACATAAAGTGTTAACAGTGAGTGATGTTGATTAACTGTCTTACATCTAAACTGTAATTTTAAAATTAGGGATAGCTTACGTAAATATCCCCCCTAGTAGCTTTGTGTGAAAGTCAACAAAAAACACTCTATAATAAAAGGAAAGAAATATAACCATTGAAAACCTTAAGGTTGCACTACATTTCTTACAAATATATAAATTATATTACAGTGTTATTTATGTTTTTGTTATTGTCAAGCGTAAAGCTGCATTTTAAATTATCTCAAAACTTTCAGCGTTATAAGCCTCAGGTTTGCCACTGAGCCATTGGAGGCTGATATGTAAGTAAAATAGTTAAGTATATATCAATATGGATATTATCTGATGAAAATTTCTCACAGAGGAAAACTGTTGTATAATAAAATAACCCTAAATAGTCTGAATATTCAAGATTCTGTACTGTATTGTTTTTGTTTCATGTTAGCTCTTTGATCAAGTAATAATCTGAATATTCAAGATTCTGTACTGTCTTGTTTTTGTTTCATGCTAGCTCTTTGATCAAGAAATAACAAAATTATTGAAGAATCTTAATAATAATGAAATATTAACAATAATGTGTTCTACAAACAAGCATAATGAATAAGAGTAATAATAATTCTCTAATATTTTTTTGTTACAAACAAAACTAGCTCCAAGTAGATTATCTTTAAAAAAAACGTTTAAGATAAGTTCTCTTTTGAACATTAATTACTTTGAGCTTTTCTGTTAAGTTCCAATTTATGACACCTGAAAGATGACATTACAAAAATGTCGAAACCTTTAAATAAGTCCTTTTTGAACTTTTTCCTTTTCTTTCCTTTGTTTGGTATTTACTTTTAGCTACATATTTTTAAAGTCAAATGCGTCATTGTCGTGACGAACAGGTATGTGAATTTCATTTAAGTATGTCGAAAGAGAAACGCTGGAAATTGTAAGAAAAAAATCAAACGCTCGTTTGTAAATTCAAAGATTTGTCGAAAAGCTAAACGTATCTATAAAGATTATTGAACACTTTGTGAACATAATAGCTATTACAGTCAAGTTTTTAAAAAGTTGAGACGAAAACATCATCATGGTACGAGAATTACAGGTAACAAACCAATCAGAGCTAGAGTTGTAGATTAATTGAAGGAAACAGTTTTATGATAAATTAACAAGGAAAGTGAAACGACAAAAATATTAAGGTTCACCGAAGTGCAAATTACTTAATTCTTACTCAAAATTCAAGTATTTCAATTCATGATCTTGCCCACGATGTTGTCAGAAGACAGCCAAGACTTTTCATGGAACAGTTTAGGTAAACAACGTAAACTCTGTTATTTTGTTGTTAAACATAAAGCTACACAATGGGCTTTCTTTGATCGTCCTATTTACCATGAAATAACATGAATGCGTTTTAAGTATCTTACCATCCTTCCCGTTTCTTCTCCTTCACATATTGTTACCAGAACTTCGACGTCGGTAGTTCCAGCCATAAGTTCATTTTTGCAATCATCGAATTCTCTTAAAAACTGTCAGGAGAAATTACGAATACAAACCATCATCACCGCTGGGAAATTAGAAACTACATTACATGACTTATAGAAGCATACAAAATTGATTTGATTTTATAAATATTTTATCTTAATCCTCAAAAATTGTTTTCTCTCTTTTTAATGATGAGGATTTAAGTTGTTTGACTGTGAAATACTACAGCGTTTTTTATTTTTCACTGGTTATTTTTACTTCTTATTCATACAAATAAACGGTATAAATATAAATCTTCCTTACCCAGACAGGGATCTTTTCTCTTTGACACGCAACAAACTTCGTCAATTGGTCAACTGTCAGCTCTGAAACATGAAGAAACCACATGAAATGTATCCGATAGAATATATATTTGGAATGAACTTTTGGACAGGAAAAAAGAAACTGAATGAATTACACCTTCCGACTGTGATGTGTTTGTAATCCTTTAGGCAACAAAATTTTGACTATTCTGTAAAGTTATGAGTTAATTACAGGCAGAGAATCATAAATATAAGCAGTTTTTAAAGTCAGTTTTCTATTACTCTGTTCTTAGCGCAATAATCCTTGTAGTTACCTTCAAACTACTCTGCGTGGTATGCATATTGATTATTTGTGATGTGTTTCTTACACGAAGGTTATACTGGTATGTATTTGTACTTATGACAAAGGTACTGAGCCATTTTCCGCTGTTACGAGTTTCCAATTATTTACCAGAGAGAAGACAGCAATCAGCCATGCACTACCACTCAACATCCGTGTTAAGGTATTTACTTAAACAGCCAAGATACTTTATGGAATCTTACGCATTCGCTAACTTGTCACCTCTGTAATTTAGGACTCTACCACAGGATGGACCCGCGTCCATTTTAAGTAATATATAAGTTGTTAGACCAATTATTTACATTCATAAGCTCCCATTGGTTGTTCAGCGGTAAGAACGGTGGATTATAACGCTGAAAATCGGTTTTCAATATCAACTTTGTGCAGAGTACCGGAAGACCAAAGCTAAACAGCTTTGCGTTTAATAACAAACAACATCACTAATTCATAGAAAATATGGAGTTTAAATGTGAAATATTGTTTGAAGTGCAACATGAAAATACTAAACAGAAATATTAAAATGTATAAAAGAAAATAATGCTATTTCTTACAACGTGCAAAATATGTACTTGAAATATACCATTAACATGACGCAAGAAGAACTTATGATAAGTCAAGTAAGGAAGTTACTCAATGAAATGTTTTATATGTTTCTAAGTTTTATATTTCATAATAGTCCATTCTTCTCAATAACTGAAGTAAATAATTACAATGCTTTCAATAGAATGAGTATTATGAATAATTTATTAAAACCGGCTGGATCTTAGTTAACTGTTTTCGTTTAGGAAAAAGCTTCAAGGGAAAGAAATATTTAACTGACTTAGAAGACAGAAGTTTGGATTAAAACTCTTGAATGCGTCTTTATAATATTAAGTATTCTAATAATGTTCAGTATTTAACAATTGTGTAACCAGAGAAAAATTCATTTGTTGAATTTCTCGCAGAGATACTTGAGAGCTACCTGCTCTAGCCGTCCCTAATATATAAATAATAGAATAGGGTGAAGGCAGATAGTTAACGCACACACTTTCCAAATCTTGGGTTGCACTATTAGAATAGTGGGATTGACTGTTGCGTTATAATACCCCAACAGCTGAAAGGGTGGGTATGCTCGGTGATGGAATTCGAACTAGCAATCCATAGGTTGCAAGTCGAGCACCATAACCTCCAGAACATACCAGACCCTTCAAAGATAGAACAGGATACAATAATTACATTTTTAATGCCTCTCGTAAAAATGTCCTGTATTTATCACAATATGTTAGTTCCCTAAATGGAACAGCGTTTTGCTTACGGACTTATAGTTTAAATTCTGAGGATTGATTCCCCGTCATAGACTGTTAAGTAGATATGAGCTAAGGTAAACAAATATAATATATAAAACTTAATATATAATATATGAAATACTTACCACAAAATGGTGGTGTTGGTGGCTTACTTAGTACAACCACACTAATAGTAAGGATCAAAGCGATATTGATCAAAGTTTTCATCTTCAGGTTTTCCGTTTCTCGACAAACGAAACAATGTTGAACCATCACTCCTAATTCATATTTTTATAGCCATCCAGGAACTGTTAACTCTCACATCCTTAGGCAACGTGACCTCGATCATCGATATTCCTAACATCACCTCAGTAGATAATATTGTCTAAATAACCGATGATGTATTTACTAAAGATATCGCGTTTTTTTTTATCTAAATTCCCTAGAGTATAAGTACACGGTGTCCTAGAATTTGGATATTGCTCAAGCTCATTTTGGCCACGCTGTCACATTCTTTTTCTGTACATACATACAACAGCTAAATTATAGGTAGAATCGTTTCCAGTTCTGTCTTACAAAGAATAATATGTCTATACCTGTTTAGATTGTACTGTTTAGTAACTAGCTAGTTATGTTACTTACACAAATACATTAACTACACAAACTGTGTTAAAAGATTGTGCTAGTGTTTAGTAACTAGCTAGTTATGTTACTTACACAAATACATTAACCACACAAACTGTGTTAAAAGATTGTGCTAGTGTTTAGTTTTGTGTTTCTTTTAGTAAAAAAGTACACAATAGACTGTGCTCTGTCTATCACGGGGAGTCAAACCCCGAATTTTAGCGCTGTAAATCCGTAAATTTACAGCTGACCCACATAGGACAGGTGATTAGTTATAGAGATGAAATTAGTAAGAAACCTATATTGTCGTATCTGCTTTTCCTTATTACGTTTCTTTTTTTTTCATTATTGTCTTCATTTCATGGTTACCTTCAAATATTTTTCACCCCAGTGGCACAGCGGTATATCTGAAAACTCACAAATGCTAATAAATAGGTTTCAATACCCGTGTTGGGCACAACATAGCTAGCCCAGTTACGAATCTTTGTGCTTAACCACAAACAAACTGAACAATAAAATATTTTATGTATTCAAAATGAAGCTAAAAATAAAAAACAATTGTTGATGTTAAAATGTTGTTTTCGTTATTCTTACTCATCTTAAATTTTTTTATTTTCATTTAGGCTAGAATTTTTTATCTTTTCTTGTTTTTGTTAATATTCTGTTTCATTCTTCTCATTTCTGTTATAACTACGTTTTCTTTGTTCTTTTTTCTGCTTAAAGTTTAATTTTGATCTTTCTATTTATTTCTATTTCGTTTCAGTTAAACATTTGTTTTCATTTTGTGAAACCTAAACATGTCTTAAAGAGAAACGATTTTACAATTTCTTTGATCTAAATGAATTTGAACTTTTTAGCCATCAAATAAATGTCTTCTGAAAATGCCTTTGCTACAACTTCTCAGTTATGTCATTTAGTTTACTGGCGTATGCTTGTTATTTAAAAAATTAGAAAAACAACAAATTTACCTTATATGTCAATAATCTACGTCATTTTGTAGGCCTAACTTAATGGTATGTTCCTATTACACAAGTCGTTGTGAAAAACCAAAAAGGGGATCAGAGGGAGAGTGTGGCGTGAGGATGAGTTTGCAGAACTCCCATTGATTATGTTATTATTATACCCAATGCTATTGGACATCTAGAAAGTAATCAAAAATAAAAATGTATTGAAGTTTTCTTAATTTTTCATCTCTGGTTGGATTTTATTTTAATACCTCACATGACACCAGGTGGATTTTTAATTTCTTCTAAGGATGAATTTTTTAGTTTTATGGAGAGTTATTGTAGAATATGTTAACTTTTGATTAACTGTTTATCAAAGTTTCTTAGCTACTAGTTCTTGAACGAGCTTTATTCTGGATACTTTGTTTTCAACATTAAATCTTTAAAGTCATTTTCATAAAATACATTATTTAACAATAAAGAAGATTACGACACTTATGATATACAACATTGTTTATTGACAAAAAGGGGACATAGATAAACGTTTCGGAATTCTATCAGATTCCATCTTCAGTATTTAAGGCAAAATAAAATAAATTTACACAAGTCTTGGACATTGTCAAAGTACAATTGCTAAATATAACGATAACTAAACAAGTAAAACACAAAACAGTAATCATGTGGAGAAACTACAGCAAGAAAACACAACAAAAAAAAGGTAAAATCAGTAATACGACCATATTAAAAATGTATAATTTAAATGAAGACTGCATGTTGTTCAGAGTTGGAGAGTGCTGTTTGATGTGGAGGGTTTCTTTGATCAATAATTCCAGGTCAGTGTTAGACTTGCAGAGGATAGAGATATTTGATAGAATAGGTTGATGTCCTGTTTCTTCACTACGTTGGCGTATAGAGGAAACACAGGGGTTACTCTTTTTTTTGTGTTTTAATGGAAATTCCCATATGTTCATAGGCTCTGACTTTTAAATGGCGTTTGGTTTTGCCAATGTAAGAGGCCTTACAGTCTCCACATGTGTAAAGATAGACAAGCCAAGAACAATAAGGAATGGGGAGGAGATCTTTAGTAGGGAAGAAATTTTTTATGCGTGATGTGGATTTAAAAACTAATCTGAAATCTACTTGAGGGTAGTAACGACCAAGTATGCAGTTAAGTTGATTTTTTTTTAAATTTAAGCTTTGTTTGCCAGTATAGGGAAGACACGAGTATATAGTAAGTTTGGGTACAGTTGGTATCTTAATTGGCTTTGTGAGTTTCTTTGTTAGGAAGGTGTTGGTAATGTTTTCTAATAAGTGTTGTAGATAGCAGTGACGTTTCAGGATATCATGTAAGAACGAAATTTCAGAGTGTAGATTAAGATATGTAAAGCACAGGTTGTAAGCTCTTTTTAGTAAGCATGTAACAAGGTTTCGTTTATACGTAAATGGGATAAAGCTATCCAAGTATGTAAGGAGACCAGTGGGCGTCTTTTTTCGGTAAATTGATGTGGAAAATCCATTAGCATTACGGTTAATGAGCATGTCTAAAAAAGCTAAATTATTATTATTTTCAACTTCACATGTAAATTTAATGGCAGGATGTTGTGAGTTAGGGTATTCTAAAGATTTTGAGCATTGATCACTATTATTAAAAAGAATAAAAGTGTCGTCCACTTACCTTCTGTACAGTACAGGTCTAAAGTTAACTGGGCAGGTGTCAAGCCATTTTTTTCCCTACTTAAGATCTCCTTCCCATTCCTTATTGTTCCTAGCTTGTCTATCTTTACATGTGTGGAGACTGTAAGGCCTCCTATATTGGCAAAACCAAACGCCATTTAAAAGTCAAAGCCTATGAACATATGAGAATTTCCATCAAAACACACACACACACAAAAAAATTGAGTAACCCCTGTGTTACCTCCATACGCCAACATAGTGAAGAAACAGGACATCAACCTATTCTATCAAATTTCTCTATCCTTTGCAAGTCTAATAGTGATCTGGAATTATTTATTAAAGTAACCCTCCACATCAAACAGCACTCTCCAACTCTGAACAACATGCAGTCTTCATTTAAATTATATATTTTTAATATGTTCGTATTACTTATTTTACCTTTTTTAGTTGTGTTTTCTTGCTGTAGTTTCTCCACATGATTACTGTTTTGTGTTTTACTTGTTTAGTTATCGTTATATTTAGCAATTGCACTTTGACAATGTCCAAAGACTTATGTAAATTTATTTTATTTTGCCTTAAATACTGAAGATGGAATCTGATAGAATTCCGAAACGTTTATCTATATCCCCTTTTTGTCAATAAACAATGTTGTATATCATAAGTGTCGTAATCTTCTTTATTATCAAACTTCGTTTTCCTTCGAACACATCGATTGCTAATAATTTAACAAAAGTTTCATTTAGTGGTCTAAATGACGCGATAAAGAAAGTCATTTGAACGGTGTCAAAAAACAGAACAGTAGATTAACAAAATTGTTATATTTTACGTAAACATAAATTTCAGTTACTTTCGTAATCTAGTCTCTTACTAAATTTTGCATAATCCCAGTGGCACAGCGTTAAGTTCGAAGACTTGAATGTTAAAAACCGTTGTTTGGTTGTTTGTTATGTCAGGCTTAAAACTTCGAAGACACCTGGAAGAATCTCATTGAGATCAAAGTCATATCATCAGATGGTATACATCCAGATCAAGCAGCATATGTTGATTTTCACAGATATTCAGCTACATAAAATGAATGTTAACTGATTATCAGCTAAATAATTTTTATTTCTGTATGTCGTTTTCACATGCACATAATCTAACGATATGTATTGAAAATAACACCTTGAGAAAGTCCTATGAAGTGTATATATATATAAGCTGATTTTTTTATTAACCAAAGGACTTAGTAATCGTTTTTGTGGAATACTTTTGACTAATTACAAAATAAAAAACAATTTATTTATAATTAATGACGTAGATTGAGTTCACTTTAGGAATTATTCTTAATCGCATGAAGATTTTTAATGTTTTATTGGGATTTTAAGTACTGAATGTCTTTTACTTTTAGTCTTACATGTTACCATCGATACAAGAAACATTGAAGTAGTAAATGCTAGAAGACGCTCCAGTCTATCTACATGTATTACTATAAAGTTTACAAGAAATATCAGGTAGTTGCAGTTCATTAAAGTTCTCACACTTACAAAATCAAGTTAGTTTGATTCTGGCTACAAACATTAGAGGTCGCTTCCATACAGACTAAAATACATCAACAAAGACGAGTATTGATGGGTTGAAAAATATCGGTTGAAGTGCAACTGAGGCGATATTTCATTTGGTCTTAAATATTTCATGGTTGCAGAAGCTGTGACCTAAATTAATAACTATATGGGAAAGATTTATATGCGTTGGGTTATTGCTTCCTTGTGTTTTTGAACAGACTACTACATTATAAACAGTGTTATGATTTAACTTGTATTCTGTTAAATTAAATTCCTTTCCAGATTCCAACGTAAAATGATTGTAATTTCATAAATAAGATATTTTTGTTTTGTAAATATACAAAAGAAATGTTTAGTCTTTAATGTAAATTAATTGTTATTTTTCAGATTGATCGCATTTTTTCTTGTGCGAAATGAAATTAATTTGAAGCGTGATGTATATAATACTTTCTATAATTTCATGTAATTTATTTTTCTCTTTGGATATAGGTCTAGTTTTTTGTTCCTTGTATAGAAATATTCCGGTTAATCATGTCGTCCTGAATATATATAT